GGTTCACTCCAGGGAAAGGTGGAAGAGCCTGTTTCAGCTAAGGGCTCAGAGCTGTCTGGGGCTAGGTGGTTGCAGAGGATGGGGAGGAAGTGGCTCCTTTGCCCTTCCTGGGGTGCCTGGAAGGAAAGGGAGAGTGGGTTGTCTGCAGTCTGTCAGACCTGTGACTGTCCTGGCACCCTAGTGAGCCAGAACTAGGGGAGCTGGACCTGATATTTGAGCCCCAGACTAGGAAAAGTCAGAAGGTGTGGTGGCCTCCTAAAGTGTTTGGAGCTTCTGAATGTAGCCAGAAGCAAGAAAACAACTCTCCTCTGCCTCCTCCAACAAGGATCCAGGCAGAACAGGTTGAACAAGTGTGCCCTTGACAGCTAGGCAGCACAGGGCTTTAGCAGTTTCACAGAGGTCTTGAGAACAGGCTTCTTTTTAAACCTTTTTTTTTTTTTTTTTTTTTTTTTGAGAATTTCTTACATATTATTTCCCTCTCTCACCTCTACCTCTGTGTTCCCTGTTTTCCGTCTCAAATCCATGACCTTTTCTAATTATTGTTACACACACGCACACACGCATGCACACGCACATGCACACGCACACAGCCTGCTGGGTCCACTTAGTGTTGCCTATATGGATATGTGTTTAGGACTGACCACTTAGTTCTAGAGAATCTATGAGAGGACTTGTCCCTGGAGGATTCTCCTCTTCCCTCTTTTAGCAACCATTCATTGTTATAGTTCTCCATCTAGGGGTGGAGCCTTGTGAAATATCTCCAATCCACATTGGTATGTCAACTGCTATTGTTATTATACAGGTCTTCTTTAGGTGACCACGCTGTTAAGATTTCATTGGTAGCTCCCCTGTCGTAATTAGAGGACACAGCAGCAGTCCTGGAGTCCTGGCCCCCCCGGCTCTTCTAATCCTTCTGCCCCTTTTTCTGCGATGTCCTCTGAGCCTTTGATGTAGGGCAGTGCTGTCAATGTATACACTGGGGCTGGGCACCCCAAGGTCAGTTAGAACAGCAGTCTTCTGTAGAATGGGGAAAAGTTCGGAGCTGAGATTATTTGAACTGTCAAAAACAATACAACCCCAGAGGATGAGTACATTATATTTATTATACACTACTTCTTCACTTACACCCAACCCACATTCTCCAAACTAGAAAATTAGCATGAAGTTAAATGGTAAAGAAACAGGAGCAAAGCAAATAAAGGAAGTAGAGTCAGAAGGATGGGAAACACAGGCAGAGCATTGAGTCAAAGACAGGGTGGATGAGATCCAGGGTGTGTGCGCAGGTCAAGGCTCAGACTGACAGCTGCCTGGCACAGGTGAGGACCGGAAGCAGAAGCAGGCAGTGTTTCTGTGGAACACGTCCGGTGAATCCCAGTGCCTCCACTCATCACAGGTGCACGAGGCTAAGTGCAAGTACAGTGAGCAGAGACCGCTCGCTTCGGCCCTTTCTGTCCAAGGAGGGAACCTCATGTGATCTAGACAGATTCTAGGTCCCCAGTGAGGACAGGAGGACATCGCCAGTGACCTACACTGTGCCTACATGGAGCTGCGTATATATAGGACTTCCTCCTTTTCTTCCTTCTCCTTTTTCTCTCCCCATCTCTACCCTTCCTTCCGTGAAGATTTTGCTAGAAGGAGGGCTGCCTCTCTTGGCACCACCGTCTTCTGCTCATGGCTCTGTGGGTCATGGCGGCCCACACAGACGGGACACAGACAGCGAGCGTCCTTGTTTCCTCTTCGCCTCTGGGCGGCAGGCAGGCCAGTTCCTCTGCTGAGCCAGGCATGGCTGCGCTGCCAGCTTCTTTCTTAGGCTTGTGCCCATGAAGCCTTTGATGCTCCTTAGCTGACCCACAGTGAGAATGGGACTTCAGAGACTTCCCGCCCCCTTTCCAGCAAACCCTGCTTTGTCACACCGTGTTCTAGCCCAGAGAGCCACAGCGAAGCACTTCGGCTCCTGTCTCCCACTGTTCTGTGCTCAGTACAGCCGCGATCTGGATGAACAAGAGGACGTCCTGTAAAGAATAGGGCAGTTTTCAGGGGTGCAGGAAATGGCCTGTAACTTCACTGTGGCAGTGATTATATTTAGTAAAATCCATCAACTGATCGCATTAAGTGAGTACATTTTACATATCTATAAAACTGTGCTAAAATACATCATTTTAATAGGCTCTCATAGATCATTTGCATGTGAATTGCCAGGTGAGGTTTTACATTATTACTATATACTTGAGTATGTATGGCTTAAAATAAATATTTTCAACTTTATTCACATCTATCTGATGTAATAATTTTTCCTGTTTTAAGGTTTTTTGGGGGGGCGTGGGAGGTCTGGTATTTCCTGGTACAGTTAGGTACAGAAAGGGCTAAAGGAAGTCCTTGCTGCCATATTCCTAGGATGTGTGCCAGAATTACTGGAAGGATTCAGAAAATAAAGTATGACATTTTCATAAAATAGTCACCTCCCCCATTAGCATGGTGTCCTCTGCATCTTATAGTACTGCGTTACGGTGTGGTGAGGCATCATGTTGGCTTTTTTCAGCCCGGTACACGAGTGTGTGGCACACACACACACACACACACACACACACTGCATTAATTTAGACTTGCCTTGTTCCCCTCCTCCCTCGGTCCCTATCCCTGGGGTCTGGGACAGTCTGGGTCAAGCCTGCTGCTCTGACTGCTTGGCTGGAATGTGACTGTTGATGCCTCCATAGAAAGTACAGAGGGGCTCTCTCCTGTGTGGGCTAGCCTTGGTTCAACTCTAAAGCCAGAGTCCTCATGGGTGTTCTGGGAGAGAGTCTTTGGGGGTCAAATACATTTGGGAAATATTAGACAGGGTTACACAGACCTCTCAATTGAAGACTTCTCAAAAGACCTTAGTTCAGGTTCATTTGGAATCTTTACAAGAATGCCAGTCTTCACCCACGAGTGGTGAAGTTACCTAGCTCCCTTTGATTCCTCTTCCGTGTGTGTGTGTGTGTGTGTGTGTGTATGTGTGTGTGTACATATATGCAGCACCCTGGGAGGCCAGAAGACAGTGTAGGATCATGGAGTTGGAGTTGCAGATGATGTGAGCTCTCCCACTCCCTAGGTAGTTTTTAGGAACCAAACCCAGACCTCCCCAATATATCACTCTCTCAATCCATATCCTCTTCTTTTACTTTTTAAAATACACATCGCACCAAGTCCAGTCAGTGCTTCCATGAGCTCATGGCTTTGGGGCCATCTTCTTGAACAGGGACAACCCACTAGTGGCCACCCCTCCCCCACAAGAAAAATGACTCTCCTTCCTACAGGGGTCATCAACTGCCAACAGCTCACCTATGGCTGAGGCATGCTGGATGACACAGAGAGAACTCTGGCACATCTGTATCCAGGGCCAGCTCCCTCACACATTGTCACTGTTGCTCACTGTCCCTGTGTCTGAGCCTCAGCTCCATCTGTTAAGTGGGCTACCCTTGCCTTTTTCATGTGAATGATCCTGTGCCTGCTGTTCTTGATCTGCCTATGACTTCTCCAGCCACCCCACCTCCACCCTCAGCCAGGCCCTTGGTCCACAGGTCACAAAGTGTGCAAATCTTCCCTGGGCATTTCACCTTCTCAGGTTTAACCATTACCTTGTGTTTCTCCCCATGTTCTGGAAGTATCCAGGAGCTGGTCTTTGGGTCACTAATTAGATTTTCCCCCCATTCCCTCTCTCCTCTTCCTTATCAGACTCCCTCTTGATTTCCTCCATGGATGCTTATCACGTCAGGAAATGACTTTGTTTTTTTTAATTGATTCTTTGCAGGTTTCTAAGTTGTTTGCTTACACTTACTAATGAGGGTCTAAGTCAGTTGCTGCAGCTCCCTAAGTGCTGGGATGGCATGGGTGGGTACCAACCTGGCCTCCTCCCTTCTTCTTATACAGGCACAATCCTAACAGATGAGGGCCGCACCTTCACAGCCTCATTATCCATAGTTACCTTCAAATACCATGTCAGTGGTTCTCAACCTTCTAAATGCTGTGACCCTGTAATACAGTTCCTGATGCTGTGGTGACCCCTAACCATAAATTTTTTTTGTTGCTACTTCGTAACTGTAATTTTGCTACTGTTATGAATTGTAACGTAAGTATCTGATATTTCTGATGGCTTTAGGTGATCCCGAGAAAGGGTCATTCAACCTTCAAAGGGGTCACAACCCACAGGTTGAGAAACACAGCCATAGTGGATTAAGCATCTCTCTTACTAACTCATGAGAGAGATGAAATTTCAACACAGGTCTTGGTAGGGAATATTAAGACCAAGGCAATGCCTACAGAATTTTATATGTATGTGTTTTAAAAGTTTACCCACTACTTGTATCAATATATTTTACAGTATCAGTGGAATTTGGTAGCAACCACACACTAAGCATCCTTAATTCCAATGTCTTTTAATCAGCATGAAAAAGGATGATTTATATTATAAATGACACTGGGGGATCTTTGCTTTAAACTGAATGAAATTGGCCAAAGATCAGGCCAGTCTCTTGGGCAAAGAAGACACAGCATTGCCTCTGTTGGAAATTCTCATCTGGAAGGTCTCATGGGTGAGACCAAGGTGGAGAACTCTAATCTGGGGACAGGTTAGTGCAGCTGACAGGTGATTGCTATTTGCCCTGGAGTGGGAGGAGGACACAGCAGACAAAGCTCCTTTGGATGACTGCACTTGACGTCCATGCTATAAGCAATAAGCATGTGGCATCAAGCAACACTTGGTATTGGATTTGCTTTTAAAGCTTTCTCTTGCCGGGCGGTGGTGGCGCACGCCTTTAATCCCAGCACCCGGGAGGCAGAGCCAGGCGGATCTCTGTGAGTTAGAGGCCAGCCTGGGCTACCAAGTGAGTCCCAGGAAAGGCGCAAAGCTACACAGAGAAACCCTGTCTTGAAAAACCAAGAAAAAAAGAAAAAGAAAAAAAAAAAGCTTTCTCTTTCTAGCATCTTTAGTTTGTACTCATTCTAATATCAAGATCATTTTCTAAGGCACACAGACACCAACAGCTTTGTCTTTAATTTCCAAGATTCATGTACTTTCCCATTGCAAATCAGCTGTGAACAAAGGCATCGTGAGCCTGTACCCCACTGCTGGACCAGCGATGATGAGTTTTTTTGCCCAAACAGAAAGGGTTTTAGAGCCTGTGACACTCAGGCAAAGGTCAGACACCGAGCGCCCGTGACACAGAAGCTGAGCATGTATCAGGAGTTTATCTGCTGGTCACCCTTTTCTTGAAGTTACTGTTGGAGGTGCAGAGCAAAAGTCCTTCCTGAAAGAGAAGAGGTTGACAGATGGAAGCTGCTCTTTTGTGGGTATCGATGTTCCCCCCTTTTTTGAAATACCTGTATCTAGACGTCAGATTATGTATGAAACCCACAGTGTGGGGACAGAAATGAACTTCTTCCCCTAAGGGTTGGGGCCTAGCTGCTTCCTCTCTTTAATTCCTTTAGTGATAAAATAATTTTCCCTTTTACTTAAACCCAAGACCCATCCTCTCCTTTCTCAGTCCTCTTTCACTCTCTCTTTCCATTCTTCTCCTCCAGGTAAAATCCTTACACATTTATCCCTGTTAATGTTTAAAGTTTATTTAGAAAGAAAAAGCTTTACTTATTATTATTAGGGTGGGCATGTGCCACAGTGCTCACGTGGAGGTCAGAGGACAACTTTGTCCTTTCAGTTCTCTCCTTCCACATTTACTTGGGTTCTGGGGATCGAACTCGGGTTTTATGGCTTGAACAGAACGCAACTTTACCCACTGTTCTCTGCCCCTCCCCCCCCCCCGCCCCCCGTGATAATGGTTTGAGTGCTGTTGGGAGGCTCTGTCCAGGAATCTCGACAACATGCCTTCTGCAATTGTTACAGGTTAGAAAGAGAGTGCCACCACGGCAATGGGGGAGACTGCCACAGCTGAGGTGGCTGAAAATGTCTCACAGGGTCCACATGAACTGGGCCTCCTGTAGATGCTTAGCAGACTGCGGACACAGGGAATTCTTTGCCTGCAGCTAATTTCCTTCCAACCTACCTACCTACCCAAACCCATTAGGCCAAAGTTCTTAAATCACAAAAATGTTGGCCTGCGTTAAAATCCTCAGCCCATTTTGCTTGTGCTTAAGGCCTTCACCACGTGCATCTGAGTTTGTAACTTTGTCACTTAACAACTTTTTCTGTTGAACGTCCAGCTCTTTGTAAGTCATGCTGTTGAGTCACAATGGGAATCTGTCCACATTTTTGCTACTAAAATTCCACTCAATCTTCCAGGAGTTGAATCCACCACCCTTGGTCATTATAATACCTTCTCTAGGAATCTTAATGTCTTTGCCTTGCACCGTATAGTCTTCTTCCAGTCTTTTGACCTGGCCCTCTCTCCTTCAATTAAAAATTCCTTTGGAGTGAACCAATCCCCTGCCTCATTCTGAATGCATTTTTCTGAGGCTCCTGTAAGAAAAAGACAGGCCATTACAGGACCCACCTGGATCCTCTGTGAATCTACCACAAACCTTTGGGCCTCTCCATTATGGCTCTCCACCTTCCTAGGTCAATGGGATTTCTTAGGGGTGGGAGCAGAGGTAAGGAGATCTGGGTTCCTCTCTCAGATTCAGGGAACCACAAATCCTACAGGACATTGAGGGGGTGGGGCAGAATCTGCATTTTCTGTGACTCTATTTGTAGCAAGGACACAGATGTCCACATCACTGGGCCCAGAGATGACTCATGTGGTTTCCAGATACACCTATGGAAAAGTCTGGAAACTCCTTCCTGGGCACTCTCTTCCCATCCAGCCCACCACCCTCCAGGGACCAGAGCATCAGAAGAGCAGACACTCACCTTGTTTCATTTTCTCCTTGAACAAAATCCCTTTGGCCTTACCACAGGTCACGGGAAGCGTAGGAGAGAGAAAATCTTCAGTGTCATCCTTGGGCTTTCCTGGAAGTGTGAAAACAAACAGACTTGGGTAAGTGAGGTGGTCAGCACTGAGAGATAATGTCCATCGTCATCACCTGCTATCACTTTACACTTCATAGGGTCCCTGCTTTTTCCTTTGCAAACTGAAGAAAAAAAAAAAACCCACGAAAAAACCTCTGGATGATTCTGGATGAATTTGCAAATTGCACCTGGAGAGCAGCTCAGAACTTCAGAACAGAGTTCTCAGGTTTAGACTCAAGAGAATCAATTGTGGAAGAGTTTAAAATAGCTGTTGATAGTTCCCGCTTTCTTTCCCAGCCATCCTCACTGGAGGAGAGTTCATGTAGGGCTGTCTCTTGGGGACAGAGGAAAGCGCTGTGAACCTCTGTGTTGAGTTAGAGGGTAACAGTAAGATAACAACATTGGGCCCAACTCTCTCTCTCTGTCCCCCTCTCTCTCCTCTAAAAGAGTAAAAGAAAAATGTATATTTCCTTTTCCCATTACTGGGAAAAGGAAAGAATGGAGTTGATGTGAAGATGCTAATAACCATTAATTGCTTTGGAAAGATGGAACCTGGAGAGTCACACTGTGGGAGGAGGGGTCTCTGGGAACTGAGGGGCATGGATTATCCCAAAGAGCCCCAATGGATGTTCAGCTTAGGAGAAGCCAGGCTGGCATCCAGGCTAGCACGTGGATAAGGGTGTGGAGTAACCCGCCCCACCACCTGTCTCCAGGCGTCTCTCAAATATGGTATAGTAGACGAGAATCTGGAGCCAGAGGCAGACCTGGTCAGAGGCAGAATCTTGGCTCTGCAGTTTCCTAGAAGGACCACTAAAGTTGCAATGGTGTTTGAGTGGGAGATTTGCAGCTGTCAGGTCCTGATTTGAGTGAGAAGCAGAGTTACAGGTAACCCTGAATTACTATTATAAACTCTGGGGGGTGGGCAGATTAGCACAGTGTGGGGAGCTTCCATGGTTCTCTGTCTCCATGGAAACATCTCTGCTAATTCCCTGTGGTAAGTATAGCTCTAAAGGAGACAGATGTCCTGACTATGCTTGCAACAGATGCAGGGGCAGTGGGGGTTTGGAGGTGCTGTGAGCAGCAAGCTAACATGCAGGTCAGGCCACAAGCACCACCCTCTTGCACGGGTCGAAGGTCCCCCTTGTACCTCCAACATAATGAGCCTGAGTTCCGAGGACTTCTAAGGCCATGCACCCTCCCACTAAGGGCAGTTTTCTGGTGAATTCTCAGTGGTGCTGGGTTTGGCTTAGCCTTGCTTGCCCATTTCAGCAAAAGGCCTTTTTGATGGAAGCTGAGGGAAGACCTGTGTGGGGCTCCTCAGCATCAGCCAGCCCCATTCTGAGGGAGCTGCAGCAGCTGGTTTAGACCCTCATTAGTGTGATCAAGCAACCAGGAGTCTGCAAGTAAGCAATTAAAGATAGAACCAATTTCCTGAAGTAAAGAGCATCCGTGGAGGGAGCCTGATAGGGAAGGGAGCAGTGGAAAAAAATCTAATTAGTGACCCCAAGACCAGCTCTGGGACACTCCCAGAACTCAGGGAGAAACACAAGGTAATGGCTACACCCCAGAAGATGAAATGCCCAGGGAAGATTCGCACACTTTGTGACCTGTGGACCAAGGGCCTGGCTGCGGGCGAGGGGTGGGAGGTAGGGTGGTCGCAGAAGTCACAGGCAGATCATGAACTGCAAGAGTTGCATCCTTCATCCTCAGCAGGTGAAGGCAAGGATAGCCCATTTAATAGACCGGGCCGGGGCTCAGAGGTAAGAAGACTGTGTATTGGTGACAGTGTGTGAGGAGTGGCCCCGGGATACAGATGTGCCAGAGTTCTTGCTGTGTCGTCCAGCATGCCTCCGCAGGAGCAGCCGGCAGTTGATGGGGCGCACGTGGCTACTTAGGTTGCCCATGTTCCAGTGGATGGCCCCACAGTAACTGGACTCAGTTCGATATGAAGATGGGAGGGGGATGTGCTGGGGCTGGAAGTGGGGAAAGCCGTAGGAGGCGATAGGAGGTGGGCATGATCAAAGCACATTTATACAGGTATGACATTTAAAAGAATAAATGAAAGAATTATTTTTAAAAAGCCCAAACAGCTCAGTATCGCTCCTAACAGCACACACACCCAGGCCAACTCAGAAGTTGCAGCCCAGGGTGGAAGCGAAGCTGAGGGACAATGGTCAGCATGGCTCTGGGTTTCTGCTTCAAGTGTTTCATAAAAAAGATTAAGAGGCATTGGGGGTTGTTGACTTGATTGTAAAGAACAAAGCATTCAGAAGCATCTAGGTGGATTTTAGCTCATTTGGGTCTTTTAACTTTTAATTGAGTCCAATCATGACAACATGAAGGGCAAGTTCTTTGTCAGTGTCCATACTTATCTGGTCCAGGCCAGGAGAAATAATCTATGGTATGCTCAGTACAAGGATATTCCAGCAGAGGGCAGCATAGACCGAGAAATGGGCATTCCTAATGTAGCCGCCTTTGTGTTCTGATTTAAGTATAAACAGAGGCACAGAGGAGCGGAAGGCAAGGCTCATCCATTCTGACCCCACGTGCCACTCGCAGTAAACAGGAGGTACGCAGACAACCCGCCACAACTTTGGAAGAGCCATGAGGGAAAGCTACAGGGTTTCCTGAGGGCAGGTCCTATAACCCTGCCAAGGGACAGATAAGGAGACGATATTTATTTAAGGTAATTTCTATGAGTGTGGAGTAGAGAGGAGGCAGCAAGCCTGACTTTGTTTTGGGAGGAGGTAGAGAGGAGGCTCTAGGGAACCAGGGAGGAAGTGGCTAATCCACAGCCCTATTTTAGGAAAGGACGGTTATAGTGCTGACTAAGGAAAACTAACCAGAAGAACTGGAATTTACAAAGCAGTGAGGTGCAGGCTGCTACTGGGAGCTAGGAGAACCTGTGCACTGCCAACATGAAAGAGAATCGCCTGTGATTTGAACAACCTGGGTTCTGAGTAAAAGAATTAAAAAAATAAATAAAAATCAAGCAGAGGGTGGGGAAAGGGAGGAGAGAGAATGTGAAGTGTGGAGGACGGCAGAAGAACCCAGAGGTCTGTAGGTGATCATCTTTTAGTTAGATGGCAAGCAGCAGGGTTTTTGTGCACCAGAGATGTGTGCTGGGGCCTGGCAATCTGAGTTTGATCTAGGAGCCCAAATAAAGGTCCAAGAAGAGAACTGGCTCCACAAAAGTCGTTCTCCAACCTCCACACGCACACTTCGGCACACAAGGCCTTTCACAACGGTGCAGGTTGTCCATGCACAGTGTTTTTTTTTTTTAAAGTATTTCTTGTTCCCTGTGTATAGTGTTTTGCCTGCATGTAGAGCTGCATGCCATGATCATGCCTGGTGCTCCTGGAGGCCAGAAGAGGCCATCGGATCCCCTAGAATTGGAGTTGTTAAAGATGGTTGTGAGCCACTATGTGGATGCTGGGAATCAAACCCGGATCCTCTGGAAGAGCAGCCAGTGCTCTTAACCTCTGAGTCATTTCTTTAGAGACTGGATTTCTAGGAACAACCATGACTCACAGCTGGGCATTTTCAGTGTTTTCATTTTTTTCAGCATTTTCATTTCAGGGTAAGCAATATTTTCAAACACAGATTCTCAGCAGTGTGATAATGCCCCCAGTGGGGTAATAAAAATTGGTTCTTTCAGGAGGGGGGAAAAAGATGATAATCTCTCTCTCTCTCTCTCTCTCTCTCTCTCTCTCTCTCTCTCTCTCTCTCTCACACACACACACACACACACACACACACACACACAGACTATGCATGATCATACATAAGTGATCATAAGCTATCATGGGAAGGTTGTAGAGAGGAAATAAGTGCCTAAAGGACTCCTTAGGGCAGCGAAAGCCAGCTTCAGAGAGCACAGCTCTGACTGGGCTCCTGCTAGCTGCATTCTGAGACCACAGTGCCCGATCTTTACCTTGTGTGGTTCCTGGTGGTTTGCTGGGCGTCTTCTGAGGCCTCTTTCTTCCATTTGTTTTTGGAGCCCCATTGCTGATCTCTGGAAAAAGAGGAAGAGAGAAAGGGAGCAAGCCTTCCTTGCATGTGGGAGTTCCACAAGGAAGTCTCCTGACCCTGGAAGGGTCTTTAGAACTGAGGACATCAGCCAATAGGTCACCTCCTCCCCCATGAGTGGGAAAGTGGGAAGTAAATATAAATACTCTTTTCACATCTCAAAATGCCACAGTTGTTCCAAGAAGAATATGTATGTGTTCGTGTTGCTGGCTCACTATATAGTTAAATACTTTCCAAATGTCTGTGACATTATAAAATCTTACATGAGCAGGACATTCATTGGAGATGGAAGATGGGAGGTATGGTAGCACACACCTTTAATCCCCGTATTTGGTAGGCAGAGGCAGGTGTATCTCTCTGAGTTTGAAGCCAGGCTGGTCTACATAGTGAGTTCTAGGCTAGCCAGAGCTACATAAAAACCAAAACCCTTGTCTTCATACCCCTCCCCCTGCCCCCCAAAAGGAGTAGATCATTGCCTTTCTTTGCCCCCTCTCACACCCCATCCTCACTCTCTGAACTCTTCTAATACTGAGCCTTTCCAATGACAGGTCCCCACCCCCAGCCTTACCCTGTGATCTGGATGTCCGAGCACGTTTAGTCCTTGCCTTCTGAGCCCTGGTCACCATCTCCAAGTTCCTGGTTGAGTCATCCTTCCTCTGAGTCCTCTGACCCGCCACTCTGGGCTGCTTTTGGACTCCATGTCCAGGTGAGGCCACCCCTAGGCCAAGAGAGACTCATGAATGGAGGTCCCCAGTAAACTTTTAACTTCTTTCACAGATTTCCCTCCCAATCCCACCCTCCTTTCCAGATCTCTGTACCCCTGTGCCTCACTGAGGGAGACCAGCTCCTTCGTTTTCCCCCAGGGTACTCTTGAGGAGGGAGAAGTGAGAAATATGTAGATAGAAGTATAGAGGAGAGAGACAGTTAGAAACAGGATAGCCTCAGGAAGGCCTGGGTCAAAACCTATCATCCCTTTCTGTCTCTACTAAAGGGCTTTTAAAGAAATGCCAAGGGGTGGAGCAAAAGACCTTCCCCCAGCACAGCCAAGTGCAGACCATCCAAGACACCTGGTAACCATGCACATGGTCAAGCAATCCCCTAATTCAGGTGTGCTGTGTAAAGCAAGCTCAGATCTCACTAGGAAGCTTTTGTGGGCTACTACAGATCCCTCATCTTAAGTTTTTAAAATAACCCCCCAGACCCCATCAGATAGAGTGAGGTCTGTCTTAGGTCATCCCCTTCAGCCAGACAACCCTTACCCATTTTGGAGGTACACGTCCCATCAAGTGCCCTCTGGCTTAGGTTGGGAAGCTGGCAAGAAGAGAAAGTTGCCCATCCTTGATTCTCTGGTATGAGGGTGTATTGAGCTTAACTCAGCTCTGGCCTATTTGCTATTGAGCCTACAACCTCCACAGTGATCTCCATTGCTGCCACACCCCCCAGTACAGGAGTAGAGGATGATAGAGATGGCATATCTTTCTTGGAATGGGTCTTAAGATGTCTATATCAGCCTTATCTGTGCCAAGCCCTTTTTAAATCAATAAACTCTTGATGCAAACCACATCAGATAAATTACATCAATCTTAAAGATTCCCTTAGCTTTTACCAAACTCTGGTTCATTAACATCAACATAATTTTAGTATAAATGTTACATACTTAGAACTACCATGACTAGTTACTATATGTATTTACACTTCTTACAAACCTACATCACTAGACATATTTACAACTCTTTACAAGCTTACTTATTTATACTTCTTATATTCAAGAGCAAACTATATAGCCATCTTATAAACTTATATTCATAAGGAAACTATTAACACATATCTCTTAGAAGAACGACTTACCAAGATTATATTTAAGAAGAAACTCTGTGGAACTATACAGAAGTCTAGAACTAACTTACACTAGCAAGCATCTAAAAGAGATTTCTTAACATTTAGAAGAGATTTCTTAGCTAAACTATTAACAAGACAAGAAGTACGCAAATCATTTCTAAAGTTCAGAGTTTATAGTTAAGTTCAGAGTTTATAGTCAATTTTGATATCATTCTGAAAGTTCTCCTGACAGTTAGAAATAAGAGCCTAATTCATCAATGACTCTCAACTCTGGGACTTAGTGAATTCTGTTGTTGTAACTCTCCCAAAGTCACCTTTCTCACCGAGCTCTCTCAGCTGTTCTGGAACCGGCAGAGTGACAGTTTCTAACTAGGGGCTGTCCCTTTACCCAACTCATTGCAGCTCCCTTGTGCTACAATTCAGACAAACATTTCTGTTACAGCAGAACTTTCGTTCTTGCTCTACTGAAAAGCCTTGCCTCAGGATGATGGTGAAATTACTCCTTGTGCAGCTGTAAGGCACTGTCTTAAAGAAGCTTACATTGATTTGCTGCTGGTCAAAAGCAGTGTGGCTCCAAGCTTCATTTCTTTTCAGCTTTTCACTGGAGCTGACATTCAACAAACTCTCAGACAATTTCCTCCTTCTTAATTTTTTAAAGCTGCTTTTTAAGTTTACCATGAGCATTTTTAAAATGATATCAATGTTTTTCTCTTGAATCTTAAGCCCTGAAGCAATCTCCCAGTGTAAGGGCTGTTTTTCCTTGTTTTCTAAAGGGTTTCAAAATGGCTTGTTGATAAAGAGTATTAGCACTTTAATAATCTCCTTAGAGGCAGGTTGTTCACCTGTTCTTAGTTCTCAGGAGGTAAGATTAAGCTTTCTAACATCACTTTGAAAAGAAACTCCACTTTCAGCTGTAAACAAACAAACAAACAAACAGTTTTCCCAGGCAGTACCACCACTTTTATCTAAAAAGCTACATTTCTCTATATCATCCTGCTGTTACAAATGACCTTATGGACTATGTTTCCCAGACTGCCTTTTGAGTACGCCACTTCCATTTCTGGTTACATGACTTCTGTGGTTTGTGTTCATACTGAAATCAAGCTTCTGCTTTTTTTTTTTATCAAGGGAGGTTTTTGTCTTCCCTAAGCTCACATTAGGACAGGTGTACTTCCCTAATCAGGCCTTTCACCTGACCCTGTCCTTGAGTGGGTTGTGTCTGTCTGCATTAAGACAGTGTTTATTGCCAGAAGCAAAAACGCTTCAGGGCTTCACTACCTCCCCTCACTGGGTCAGTGAAAGAAAAGAAAAGCACTTGAAACAAAGCTTTTTCAGAAAGATTTTTTTCACCAATAGAAGAGAGATTTTTTGGGACTCAAGTCCTGCCTCCCTCATTGAAGGGAGGATTTTTAAAAACCTCCCCTGCTTTCTCCTTGCCAGTAGCCCCTCCCCTATTGCTTCAGCTTCGGCCTGCACTTTCTCACTAGGCTCTAACCACAGGGAACTTCTGGCTGCTGTTTTTAGTGGCTAGCAGAGAGGATCTGCCATATTTCAAGAGTTGGTTTATTTATTTATTTATTATTTTATCTAGAGCCATTGCAGGTGAGTCTCCCATACTGATAGATGTTACTGCCAGATGAGTTAAACTTTTGCCCTTACAGAAAGAGAAAAAAAAAATCTGAGAAAGAAAGTTCTGAAAGGCTTTTAGTTTTTTAGAGAGAGATTAAGTTTTTCCCAAGAAAGCTTTCCATTTTTGAGAGAGAAAGACCACCAAAATTTCCCCAAAACTTCTGTTCTCTATACTTTGGCTTCATGGCCAAACAGAAACCAATTCTGATGGTGCAGTGTTTCCATACAGTGGCAGCGCCAGCAGAGTGAAAAGTTTTATTTCATCTGCATTTGCCCCAGGGAAAATTCTTTCCATGCTGCTTGGGACCAAAAGCTTCCCACAGGAATCTTTTTCTCCCTGTTTTTTCTGTGATTTTTTTCCTAGTTTGTGTTCATAGCCCCATAGTTAGAAAATTAAGGACATAGTTCCTCCATCTTCTTGCTTATCTTATTCTAAGTTTTACTTTAAGCTTACATTCTACTTTTCTAAGTTTTTTCCTGCACTATATTCTATACTCCACTTTCCTTATTTTTCATAGATAAAATGTTAAGAGAAAGACAAAGAAAGAAACTTAGATAGAGAGAAATCTATGCTGCAGCCTCACTTAGGGCATCTTTCAGCCCCCTTCACTCCCAAAAATAGATTACCCTGCCTGGTTTCCATAGCTGGACATGTCCTAACTTCCCATGGGGCCCTCAAACCCTCCTTTTGCCAGGTCCCTGGTCCCTGTTTCTGGTGCCATTTGAGGGAGACCTGCTCCCTCTTTCCCCCCAGGGTACTCTTGAGGAGGGAGAAGTGAGAAATATGTAGACAGAAGTGTAGAGGAGAGAGACAGAAACACAGGATAGCCTCAGGAGGGCCTGGGTCCAAACCCACCATACTCTTCCGTCTCTACTAAAAGGCTTTTAAAGGAATGCCAAGGGGTAGAGCAAAAGACCTCCCCCCAGCACAGCCAAGTACAGACCATCCCAGACACCTGGTGATCATGCCATCCCCTAATTCAGGTGTGCTGTGTAAAGCCAGCTCAGATCTCCCTAGGAAGGTTTTGTAGGTTACCACACCTCACATTTCTTTTATTGATTTTTTTTATGTGCACCATGCTTTTTCTCTCCAAATCACCATATGTTCTCTCCCCAGGGAGCTCTTATAAGAATTAACCAGACAAATATGGGAGGATTGAGGGAGAGGTGGCTTTCTGGTTTCTGTTTCTAAGACTCCTGAACCACAAGGTGGTCCCATCAGAGCCAAATGGCAAAGCCCTGGAATTGTTCAGTTGGGGAGGGAGGCCTTCCATGTGCAGAACAGACAACATCCAAAGGCCTCCAGGCACCTCTTGTGGGTAAAGCGTACAGAAGCACAGAAGAGACAGACATAGTGCCTGCCATGAAGACAGCTCTGGAGTGTCCCTGGAGGGTGTGGCTGAGGCCCAGAGGCTCTGCCATGTCAGGGCTGGCAGACGGTGGGTTTCACTGGAGAGGGAGGACACAGCACTTTACATTGCTATGAATTTGGAAGCCACAGCCCACTGGCACAGGGCACCTTTTCAGAGCTCCTCTGAGGCTTGTCCCATGAACTAACTGCCTGTGGTGGTTTGAAAGAAAATGGCCCCCAAAGGGAGTGGCACTATTAGGAGGTGTGGCCTTGTTGGAGGAGGTGTGTCACTGTGGGGGCGGGCTTTTCGGTCTCAAACATGCTCAAGCCATGCCTAGTGTCTCAGTTCACTTCCTGCTGCCTACAAATCAAGATGTAGGACTCTCAGCTCCTTCTCCAGCATCATGTCTGCCTGCACACCACCATGTCCTGCCATGATGATAATGGACTAAATCTCTGAAAGCCACCCAATTAAATGTTTTCCTTTATAAGAGTTGCTGTGGTCATGATGTCTCTTCATAGCAGTAGAAACCCTAAGACACTGCCACTCATGGCTAGGACCAAGTTGTTGACCCTCACTTTAGTTTGGAAGGATGGTTGTTTTCTTCATGAATACAAAGAGGAAAGCTGTCACTCTCCATCCTTCACCTTGGACTGTAACCTGCCATCAGAACAGAAGGATTCCAGCATGTCCAGTTACTCAGTGGCAAAACTGGTCTGGTGAAATTTAAAACCAGATCACTGCACTGCCCAGAGCTCCTGCATGCCTTCTCTTAAAGTTCAGAGCAAAACTCCACCAGATCTACAACCTCTCAGGAGCCTCCTCCAGCCTCCCCTTGCCTCCTCATCTTACCTTGTTGGACTCTTTTCTTTGGACATCTTCTTTTGGGAGCTGACCAGATGCATCTTTTCCTTTTCTTTGCTAAGAAGAAAGAATACAAAGTCTTCTATAGACATAAATATAGATATGTCAATCTTTTTTATTTAAAAAATTAAATTATATTTTTTGTTGATTGTGTGTGCATACGTATGCATGTGTATGTGTATTTATGTGTATGTGTGCATGTGTGTGTGCACATATGTATATGTGTGGGTGTGTTTGTGTCTTAACCCTGAGACACCTATCCAAGCTCACCCCTAGCCTTTTAAAGGATCAGCTGGGAAGGAGAAATCAGAAGGTGAACTAGAAGCAGCAAACTTCAAGAACAAGTGTTAAAATGAGAATTCCTAAATTAGCTATTGGGAAATTAAGCTAGGCTTGAATAATGATAGGGCCTATGGATGGCTTTTGGGCATGAGAAACCAAGAATTTATGAAGGAAAAAAAAAACAGATGTGAGGAGATAAAGACTTGAGCAGCTGGAGTACTGGGTAGGTTGCCTGCTACCCATGATGCCTTGAAGGCATCCAACACCATGGCAGGATCTGAGATGGGAGAAAATTAGGCTTCCAGGAAGCAATGATGACAGTGTCAGAGAGGTCACAATGTTTACTATTATTATTATTATTATTATTATTATTATTATTATTATTATTACATTTATTGGGGGGTTGTGCACATGTGCCATGGTACACATGTGGAAGTCAGGAGACAACTTGAATGAGTTGGTTCTGTCTTTCCACCTTATGGGTTTCGTGGATCAAATTCAGATCATTAGGCTTGGTGACAGGCACCTCTAGGCAATGACCCATCTTGCTAACAACACATGTTTTAATTGAAGGGTGACACCTCAAAAAAGAAGCTGGGAGAGCAAAGAGCAACCTAGGAAGTAGGTAGCAGGTGGACATCCAACCTGCTTGCCGCCATGAGGTGTAAGTGAAGGATGGCAGAAGTTGCCTGGACATGACTTACCAGGAAGCAGTGTCCTCTTGGGACATTAATTGTAGTTAAAGAGGTTAGTGGAACAGACATGCTAAGCAGTTGTGGGATAGGAGTCTGGTGATTCTGAGGGATGCTTAGCTCAACATGTCTAAGTGCCTGCTTGCTACCTGTGATTTTCATAAGGCCTTTGAGAAAGGTGGAATGAAAAGAGCTTGTAGAAACACTGCAGTTGCAGAGACCGTTGCATCGTGGGTGCTAGGATGCAGCAGCTGGAGGAACAGAAAGCATCTTGAAGGAAAAGATGTCCATACCTTTCTTGTTTGCAGGTGTGCTGGGTGCTTTCTGGGGCATTTCCTGGTCATTTGGTGCTGGAGAATCATCTTTTACCACTAGCAAAAGAAACAGAACCCATCTCAGAGCTCAGAATGGACTGAAGAGAACATGCTAAGGGCAGCCATTAGGAGAACTTAAACGGTAGGAGTGAAGGAAGGGATCTGCTGGCCCACAGGGTTCTGCCCTCACCTGACCTTGTTATTATTTTAAAAATTCTTTGAGTATGGGTGCTTTGCTTGCATGTGTGTCTGTGTACACATGCCTGGTGCCAGCAAAGGCCAGAAAAAGGCATCGGATCTCTTGGGCCTGGAGTTACAGATGGTTATGAGCTACTATGTAGGTGCTGGGAATTAAGCTCAGATCCTCTGGAAAAGCAGCCCATGATCTTAGCCACTGAGCCACTGCTCCAGCCCTGACCACCTTGCTGTTGTTACTTATGCATCTACTAACAGCAAATATATTTTGAAATTCTGCTAGCTTTGATGGAATAAGAAAAAAAAAAAGGGACTTGAAATTATAACAGATAAAGGTCCACCTCCTTAAGGCTGTCTGTCATTTACACAGCACTATGTATGAATTTTGTATTCAATTCTGGCTTCTTTAGGGTCAGGTAGCTGAGGCATGTCACAAACTGTCTACAGACTTTTGAAGTAATTTCTTTCTTTCATATCATTTTAATAACACACATTCTTAGTACCCCATGTGATGTAGAATTGACTAGCCCTGAGGGACTGTTCCCACAGTCAGGGTGACATCAAGGCTAGCCACACCAATTGTATCACCTACCGATGGGGACACACAGGGTTTCTGTTTGTCTATCTTGCACTTTGTTGGGACCATTTTGAGCCTTACTTATTGCAGTGACTTCATCACAGTGGCAAGGTCACACAGTCCAGCCCTGCCATGTCCTCTTTTCTCCTGGAGTCCACCACAGTCGCTTGTGGCTGAGGAATCTTCTCTGTTTGCCAATACCTTATGCATTTTAGAGTCTAGCAGGTCCGAGGGGACTTTCTGACCTTTGTGATTGGTTCCTACAAGTCTACCTTTCCAGTCCTGCCTCCTTGCCCACCTCACAACTCTCCCTCCCTTCAAGAGCTCAGGTCTCCTGATTCCCTAAGCACCCAAGCAGTGTGATTTTTAACTATCCCAATCAAGACTCCTAAGGGTTAAGTCATCCTTTACCAGTGTCACCTTGCACAGTGCCAGGGGAACCTGGACGCTGTCCTCCTGAGTCCTTTTCTTCCTTAGTCTCGGGGGTTAAGCTGTCTTTGATCACTGGAGGAGGAAGGAAGATCTTGGGTTACCAGGCCTGGCTGTCAGGGAGGACAGTGGATGGTGTAAATGTCCAGAAAAGGATGTACACCAAGGCCAAAGGCAGGTTACCTGTCATGGGGCCTGAGGGACTGTGGGGCATCTCTGGGGAGTCGTCTTTATCATTTCTCTGAGGATCCCTGGAGGATACTGAGCAGAGGGAAGAAAAAGAATTGAGGCTTTCAGGATGACCAAGTAGGGACCGGAGTGGTAAAGAGAACAAACATGGTTCTAACTAACCAGCAAGGGGTACAAGTGACCTGGGTAAAGTAGGATAGAGAAGGAGCAGCAAACAGTCACTCACTCGTAATTAGCAGCTCATTAATAACAGTATTCTTTTTTTTTTTCTGAAAAAGTGAAAGATGGGACTTTCTATTGTCTATTTCTATTCTGATTATGTTAAACAACTTGAGTGGCATGTATCAGAGGAGTGGAGGAAATGCCACTGAGGTCAAACAGGACTCCTTTCTTCTCGGTCTGGAGAGCAGGGAGTCCTAACAATGTGTCTTTGGCAGTGACGGTAATACATCCTGCTGGAGTTAATGTGACTAAACATTATTATGTGATGGTTTGGAGAAGGCAAGTGGCGTTAAGTCTGGAGGCTAAATTAGGTCCAGCAAGACCTTTAATGTTTTATAATATTTTCTAATAATTTTAATAACATACATATGTATTGGAATCTAATCAATCTAGGAATAAATAAGGAGGGTTGGGGGCATAGGTCAGTGTTTGTCCAGCATGCAAGAGGCCCTGGGTTCTACTCTTAACATACTATGAAAAAAAAAACGAATAGGGCTGACACTCAAAGGTTTCTGTAGTCAGTGAAGAATCATCACTACAAGTGTATAACAAGCTATGTGGACAGGAAGCGGGGTTCTGTATACTATGGATTGAACCCAGGAGTCTTGCATTGACCAGGGGAGTGACCCGCCACTAAGCTAAACACCCAGATGCACCACAGCATTTTTGAAGGTTTCCTTTGCAGTGTGAGTCTGTGGAAAGCCCTCTCTGCTTCTCTCCCCATTTATTCTCATGCCCATCTCTTTCTTCTGAGGTTCCAACCATAGCCTCCCACTTGGCATGCACATAGTCTCCCTCCACAGCCCACTCAGTGTTACTCTGCACAGTGTCAGGAGAAACGCTGGGCATCCTTTCCAAGTCTTCTTCCTTATCAGTTGTAGCTGCTACGTTGTTACTGGCAGCTGAAGGAGGAAGGAAAACCATGGATTACAGGACTGGCTATACGGGAGGACAGTGAATGGCCTAAAGTAGCAGTTCTCAACCTGTGGATTGTGATCCCTTTGACAAACCTCCATCTCCAAAAAAAATTACAATTCACTACAGTAGCAAAATTACTGATATGAAGTAACAATGAAAATAATTTTATAGTTGGGCATCACCACAACATGAGGAACTGTATTAAAGGGTCACAGCATTAGGAAGATTGAGAACTGAAGGCTCAGGGAGGTGAAGTACCAAGGCTAAGGGTGGAGGGTGGGGGTGGGGGTCCAGGTATAGGAAGAAGGTGTTCTGTGACCTGGCCACTGGTAATGCTTGTGATTTTCTTAGAAAGGGTTATATGCAGGTAGGTGAGGGCATAGAAATGAACAGATGACCAAAAGGCAGCAATTTGGGGTCCTAAGTGACAAGAAGCAAGCATCCTAGGTAAGGTTACAAGTTGTAGGAGAGGATCTGTTTCTTGCCTGGAGTGGTCTTTCCTTTCTGAATGAAGCCAGGGGGAGGCACAGCTGGGTGAGAAGGGCTGGACTGCTCATCCAGGATCTCAATGATTTGCTGTGAAGATGCTTGGGGCTCACAGACTCTTGGTGCCGAGGACAGATGACTTGGTGAAGATGGTTGGGGTGGGGGCAGTGGCTGCAGAGTCTGGAAGGAGCGCCCTTCTGCTGGGTTAGTTGAGGCTTTGAGTACAGTCTGTGCAGGTCTCTTATTCCCTCCATAGGCAGTAACAACTGGAATTAGCAAAGGAGCACACATTATGACCCTGGAGATTCTGAAATTATCTGGAAAATAGAATTGCCTACTGAATCTTTTCCCACAGTACAGGAGGCAGAGTTACTGATTTTCCCCAGGTGCACAGAACAGGTTCATCACCACAAGTGTCCATTTGTGGCTGCTTTTGACTTTTATTTCATTTGAACGTTCAGTGCTATTTAGTTCCCGATATATCACCAAAAAATTGGTTAACCATATAGAAACCGTCTACTGTAGAAGCTCCCTAAAATATATACATATATAAGTGGAATTTAAATGGAGTTATCATATAATGGGGAGACAATGCCCTGATAAGGTACTATATGCTACCAAATAAAAGTGCTGTGGAACAATCTTTTTGTATACTATGAATATATATTACTCTTGTTGACTAATAAAAAACTGATTGGCTTATAGCAAGGCAAGAAGAGATCAGATGAGACAGCCTGACACAGAGAGAATGATGGGAAGAAGGAGGGTGAAGTCAAGAGAGACACCAGGGAGCCGCTGAGCAAGCAGGACATGTAAAAATGAGGTAACAAGTCATGAGTCATGTGGTAAAGCATAAATAGAAATATGGGTTAATTTAAGTGTAAAAGTTAGCTAGTAACAAGCCTGAGATATCAACCAAACATTTATAAGTAATATTGAGCCTCTGAGTGGTTATTTGGGAACTGGTGGGTGGAAGAGAAACCTCCATTTACAAAAACACCTAATACCAGGAGTGTGTTACATCTTTTTGAGTCATTGGCCAAAGGAATACCAGAGGTTCCCCTGTCCCCAAATAGTACAGGCTAATGCTGATGCTATTGGTTACTCTCCATAACCTGCCGGTGAGACTCTGTTGTTGAATGCACCAAACGCTTATGTCATCTAACACGGAGAAACAAAGCTGGTGCTCAACTGGAAGCTTCCCCCCTACTGATTAGCATTCATAGAGCTGGAGAAGGTTCTATGCACACGACCAGAGGTGAAAAATTATCATCACTCTCACCCATGCTGTGACAATAGTGACCTGCTTATTTGATATATTCACTGGTACAATGGTGGCACAAGTGTTATGGAAGTGGCCAACCACCTTTTGCCTGGCTGTAAGGATGGTTTTACGCGATGGAACCTGCACTCCACACATGCTCACAATCTAAGACTGGACGGGTCGTGGGCCCTCAGGTAAAACCTCCTGCAACTAATTTTCTAAATGTACATGGCAACAGAATGACTACTAATAATGTTTTGCTGCACTCATTGTGATGCCCATTCTTGGTCGCTAACTTGACTACGTCTGAAATTAACCACCCAAGTGGCTGGGTACACCTGTGAGTGATATTTCTTAATTAAATCATTTGAAGTGGGAAGCCCCACCTTAAATCTAGATCTTTTGAGGTAGGAAGATCCACCTTCAATCTGGGCCACACCTTCTGTTGTCAGCCTATGGAAAGAACATGGCAGAAGGACACTTGATCTTTTTGCCTGCTTGCTCTTGCTGGCAAGTCCATTCCTTCACTGGCACAGGAGACTACTTCCATGGGATTCCAGTGTATACTGAAGGCCAGCTGAGATATCCAGCCTCCTGGACTAAACAACTACTGGGTTCTTGGACATTCCATTGGTAGACAACCATTGTTGGACTAGCTGGACCATAGTCTGTAAGCCATACTAATTAAGCCTCTTCCTTTCTTCCTTTCTTCCTTTCTTCCTTTCTTCCTTTCTTCCTTTCTTCCTTTCTTCCTTTCTTCCTTTCTTCCTTTCTTCCTTCCTTCCTTCCTTCCTTCCTTCCTTCCTTCCTTCCTTTCTTCCTTTCTTCCTTTCTTCCTTCCTTCCTTCCTTTCTTTTTTTTTGGTTTTTCGAGACAGGGTTTCTCTGTGTAGCTTTGTGCCTTTCCTGGATCTCACTCTGTAAACCAGGCTGGCCTCGAACTCACAAAGATCCGCCTGCCTCTGCTTCCTGAGTGCTGGGATTAAAGGTGTGTGCCACCACCGCCTGGCTATAAACCTTCTTTCTATACATAGATTTATTCTATCATTTCTGTTCCTCTGGAGAACCCCAATACACTCATAGATCTGAACTCTCATCAGAGAAGCTTCTCCTTGCAGTAGATGGAAATTAACACAGAGATTCATGACTGGACAACATTCAGAGAGTGGGAGATGTCTTAGGATTTCTATTGCTGCAACAAAATACCATGACCCAAAAGAAAGCTGGGGATGAAAGGGTTTATTTGGCTTACACTTCAGCATTGCTGTTCATCACTGAAGGAAGTCAGGACAGGAATTCAAACGGGGCAGGAACCTGGAGGCAGGAGCTGATGCAGACACCGTAGATGGGGAGCTGCTTATTGGCTTGCTTTCCTCTGGCTTGTTCTGCCTGCTTTCTTATAGAACTCAGCACTAATAGCCCAGAGATGGCACCACTCACCATAGGCTGGACCCTCCCCTATTGATCACTAAATGAGAAAATGCCTTACACCTGGATCTCATTGAGGCATTTCCTCAACTGAAGCTCCTTCCTCTGATAACTCTAGCTTTTATCAAGTTGGCACACCAAACCAGCCAGTACAGGAGACTTTGGAATACTCAGCCCTAAGTGGGATGTCTGTAACATCCTCCCCTCAAGGCTCAGGGATCTATGCTAAAGAGGAGGTGGAAGATTGTAAGACCCAGAGGTGGTGGAAACAGCATTTTCAACACAGAGAAGGACTGGTGTGTAATGAACTTTCAGAGACGGTGTCAGCACGCCTGAGACCAAGTTCAAACCAGACAGAAACCCGAGCACTGAGAGGGGCCAACTGGGCACAAAGTTCCACTCCTAACAAAGAAGGTATCTGCAATTAATACTTGATAGAAAGGGGGAAATCAGTTTTCTTCAAAGGAATGACACTGGGTATATAATCACACTCAAGGGCAGGCCCCATGCTCAGGAAGAGTTGGCCAACACAAAATGTATTCCAGTTTTTTTCTTTTTCTTTTCTTCTTTTCCGTTTTATTTGTGTCTACATGTGCTTTTTGTCTGTTTGTTTATTTTGATTTGGGTTTGGATTTGAGGTGTCCCCCACCCCAAGACAGGGTTTTCTCTGTGTAACAGCTCTGGCTGTCCTGGAACTCCCTCTGTAGCCCAGGCTGGCCTCAAACTCAGAGATCCACCTGCCTCTGCCTCCCAAGTGCCAGGATTAAAGGCATGCGCCACCACCACCCAGCTGGGCTGGAGTTTTTTAAGAGAAAGACTACAAAATAGTGGGGGGCAGTGAGAGAGGATCGAGAGGAGTTGAGGGATAGGAGAGAATATGACCAAATGCATGGAAAATCTTTTGAAAAAATGACAGCATAAATAAATAAATAAATAAATAAATAAATAAATAAATAATAAATAAATAAATAAATAGAAAAAAGTTAAGCAAAGATGGGTTTTGACACATAAAACTGGATATTTTGTAACTAGGCATTTAATTTCCTATAATTTTGGTTTTATAGAACTTAGTCAATTGTGTGTAATTTTAACAAAGGTCTCTATTTTAATAAATAATCATATCTCCGTGGAGCAAATGAAACCAAGTTTCCTTAGCAGAGTGTATTGAGACCTTGATATCTGGTTTCTGCTCACTCCTGTGAGTTCTAGTGCACCCTACGATCTGGCTACATCAGCTTGACTGCCCTGTGATCTTCCTCCGCATCCCAACACCAGGCCGTTGGCTTTGCACGTATCGTTCTCTTTAATATATTGGGGTTGGTTGCTGTTAAGATTGTTCTTCATCAATTATTCCAGAAGTAAAGATGCCTTGATCCACGAACAGAAAACATCATAGATACCAAAAAACTACAGAGCTGCACAGGCCAGGAGATCCTTGAGCCCAGCCAGGTCTTAGATGAGCCCAGTGTATACTGGAAGTCTGTGTTCTCCTGGTCTGGCCAGGGACAGATGCCTGGGCAGCTGCTCTGGCTTCGAGGTGAAGGCTTCCCTCCGCTGCTCTCTTAGCTTAAGGAATCATCTCTCCCCTGGGGAGGAGCCTTTCATGGTGAAGTGTCATTAACAGTGACCCCACCGATGACTCTGTTTCTTCTGTCCTATTCTCAGATAATGGCCTGTCTCCTGGGATGTCTTCTCCAGTCTCAGGAGATTGCCTGATGATCCTCTTCCTCTCCCTTCCTCTCGCCAGCCCTGTTACTGCCCCTCTTTCCGTTCCTTTATTATCTAGTTGCTAAAGTTTTGATGTCAAAGGTCCCCTCAAAACTTAGGTGTTAAGGGCCTGGATTGCGGGGTGCCACCACAGAAGCGATTCTCAACCCCGTTGGGGGTCAAACGACCCTTTCACAAGGGATTCCATATCAGATATCCTGCATATCAGATATTTATGTTACAGTTCATAACAGTAGCAAAATTACGGTTATGAAGTAAGAATGAAAATAATTTTATGGTTGGGGGTCACCACAAGTGAGGAACTGTATTAAAGGGTCTCAGCATTCGTAAGGTTGAGAACTGCTGCACTACATGGAAACGGTGATTACTTGTAGAGATGGGGCTAAGAGGAGCTGTAGGTCATTGGGGGCATCCCTTGAAGGGGATCATGGAGTCCAAGGCTTGCTTCATTTTCAGAACACACAGTGAGCAGTTTTACTTTGTCACACATTCTGGCTGTGACACACTGCCTTGCTACAGGCTTAAACTGTATGACAGGCTAGAGCCTCTAAAACCTTTTTCTCAGTATAAGTTAATTACCTCGGGCATTGTGCGGCAGAGAGAGGAATCTGACAAACGGCTTTTCCTGTTCCACTGTACCTCATACTCCATTCTTTCTCCTACCCTCTCTTTCCCTGTCGGTCTCTGTCTCCCCCATCTCCTCCAGCCTTACCAGCCATTTTCCTGCTGGCTTTGTTGAGACAGTGTCTACTATCTTGGGCTCTGTATTGGGAAATCCATATAGGAGTTCCCAGTCCTACTTCTAAAACAGAAGACTGTGGGAGTTATATCCAGACTTTCTTTTCTTTGTCTGTCAAAGGCAGCTAACAATGACGCCACAGGTTGTTTTAAGGACACATGCAATGATCAGACTAATTGCGTGGAACAACCACACTGTCACAAAGAGCTGCACACTGAATCCATTTCATCTCTCTCCCTCTCTAGAGTGCCCTGTCTTTCTTCCACATCTGGTCCCTGACATTCCTGTTACCTTAGCTGTTCCCTAGAGATGGTCCAGTGCCCTGTATTTTCAAGATTGGTGTGGCAGTTCACATCTGTAATACCAGCACTTGGAAAGAAGACTGAGGCAGAAGGATTATATTTTAGGCCAGCCTGGGCTACATCATGAGACCTTGTCACAAACAAACAAACAAAGTTGAACCTGAACTAAAATTCATTGAATAGCTACAACAAAACCATCTGTGTCCTACTGAAATTTACCTTGGGGAAACTGAGGTGAAGGTCAGCAAGGGCTACCCCTCCAACTGCTTTTGTGATCGAGTGTGGTTTACCTTTACATAGGAAAAGCAGGCATTGGAATACATAATTCTACACTGGAAACAAACCCAGGCTTTTAGTGTAGCAACACTGCACATGTAAAAAGTATTGGAGAAACCACATTACCGTTTTTGAAGCTTCTGGAAATTGCCGACAGTCTGGGGTATTCATGTAGGTTGACCGGGCTGAACAGTGTCACCAGCATCGATGGGCAGAAAGTCCGTTCCAGACTGGTGAGGACATTGTGTACCACTTTGGGTAGAGGGACCAGATTTTGACAGGCCTCCAGAGATTCCTTCAAAGGGTGGAGCAAGGGTTAGTTTGAATGATTCTTCATTGAGCTGACAGCTCTATATTTGTGGTTTTCTATACTGTAGGAAAGGTACTTTTGGGCTGCTGAGGATGGCTAGTTGGGTGAAGGTGTTGATCATCAAGCCTGATGACACAAGTTCGATCCCCAGGATGCAAAGGGTGGAAGGAGAGAACAGATTCCACGAGCTGCCCTTTGACCTCCACCTGCACACCATGCACGTGTCCACCTCTACCCCCAAACAGATAAATTAGTGTAATTAAAGAAGAAGAAGAAGAAGAAGAAGAAGAAGAAGAAGAAGAAGAAGAAGAAGAAGAAGAAGAAGAAGAACAAGAACAAGAACAAGAAGAACAAGAACAAGAAGAACAAGAACAAGAACAAGAAGAACAAGAAGAACAAGAACAAGAAGAACAAGAACAAGAAGCAGCAGCAGCAGCAGCAGCAGCCAGGTTTGGTGACACATGCCTTTAATCCCAGGAGACAGGCAGTCAGATCTCTAATGTTTTCTATTTGAGGCCAGCTTGGCCTACAAAGGAGGTCCAGGACAGCCAGGGCTACACAGAGAAACCCTATCTCAAAACAAAACAACAAAATTTAAGAAATCTTTTTTAATTTGAGAGGAAATTTAATATAAAATGTAGAGTTAAATCCTCAAAATGGAAGACATAGGAGGAGAAGATTGATTGCAAAATTCTTCCCGTGAGTGTCTGCTAGGCTGAGGGAGCTAGTCCCTGGATGCTCACCACCAGATGGACATGGTGACGGGACATGTGAGGATGCTGCCCAGTGGGGACACTGCCCAGGTGGGGTGCTGCCCAGGTTGGGGGGTGCTGCCCAGGTGGAGCCCTGCCTAGGTAGAAGCCCTACTCAGATGGAGAAGGGCATCCAGCCCTGAAAAGAAAGTCAGTAAATAGCCAATTGCAACTGAGAACAGTGTCATCAAGGAGAGCACAGCTTGCCATAGGAGGGTACTACATCTTCCTGAGTGGGTACCCTCCTGAGCAACACAATGTGGGCTGTGATCTGATGAGGGAGCTGGATCTGTGCCAAGACTTGGGAAAGACTGCTGTAACTTTCCTGAACCTAGAATTCAAAACTACTTAAAAACACCAAAATTATAAACAAAACAAAACAAAACCCCACTAAGCTTGTACGCATAGCCATGCCCTCCAGTGCCTGCTTACATCAGAGTGAATTGGGGAGCCTGCAAGATGACGCATCAGGTAAGGATGCTTGCTGCCAAGCCTGGTAACCTGAGTTCAAAAACCTGAGACCCACATGGCAGAAAGAACCAGCTCCCACAAGTTATCCTCAGGCCTCCACACACATGCCATGCCACATATGCACAACACACACTCATATTCACATATGCACACCACAAAAACATATGATTTTTTTTTTAAGAATGACCTGGGAGCCACATGTTCGAATACATCAGGATGTGGTGGGTTGAGCAGCATCTTTATGCCTAACAAGATACATCATTTGGAGTTTGTGAGTGTGAACTTATTTGGAAAAGGGTCTTTGCAGCTGTAACTGAGGATGCTGAGCCTCCCCTGGATTAGAGTAGTCCCTAAACACAGGATCCTCATCAGAGGAAGGAAGAGGAAAAGACACAAGAGAGAAGACGAAGCAGAGATGGAAAGAGACTGCAGTAAAGCGTGAGTCTAAGAACTCCAGAGCTGCCACAGAAGCTAAGCAGAGGCAAGAGAGGGGTCCATCTCTGAGCTTCTAGAACAAGTCAATCTGTCAACAGCTTGACTGGGGCCTTCTGGCCTCCAGAACCACAAGAAACGAAACTTCTGGTTTGTGGTTTGTGGTCCTTTGCTATGGTAGCATTGACAACATACCTGTCATTAATTCAGTTCCATGACACCTTTTCTCCCAACCATCCCCTCCCGCAATCACGATCAAGTTGGGCCTTCCATGTTCTAGAAGCGCTGGTGGGTTGTGGTCTTAGATTTCACTAGTGGAGCATGCTTAGTGGGGTCTGGACTGCCTTGTGGAGGCTCCCCAGGCCTCACCTTGTATAGTCTGTCAGTGATGACGGAGTTGTCTCGGAGGGCTTCGAAGAAAGGGAACGGCTTGTTGATGGCATACGCGATGTCCAGCTTCTTGTATTCGAAGTGCTGGAGAAGAGCCTTTTCCAAGGCCTTGGTCACAGTGAACATCCTAGGGAAAGAGCAGGCTAAGGAGACAGGCAAAGGCTATCGGGAGCATGGGGAGTTGCTCTTGCTGAAATGGGCACTTGAAGGTAGACATCCTAGTCCTTAAGCACCCCTTAGCAGTCTAAAGAGCAAAGTCTGCCTTAAAGATCTGTGGAAACAAAGGCAGTGCCCAGCAACTAGAGACCGAGAGAGACGGACAACAGCACACCGCCATCCTGAGCAACCGCAGAGACCGAGAGGGACGGACAACAGCACACCGCCGTCCTGAGCAACTGCAGAGACCGAGAGGGACGGACAACAGCACACCGCCGTCCTGAGCAACCGCAGAGACCGAGAGGGGCAGAGTGGGTGTCAAACCCTGACTTTCTGGTTGGTGGTTTACAGTGGAATGAATGTGTGACACTGAGCAGGGTCAGAACAGACCACCTGCACTGTAGCCGAGCCCAGGTAGTGCCAATGCTCACAGGAAAAGGGGCCACCCAGTGCGGGGAGCTAGAAACCTGGTAATGTTTAGACGCTCAAAAATCACACATTTTTACACAAACAGGCAACACAAAATAAAGTCAGTCAGGAAGGATGTGGAAAATAGGATTGGTCAAAGTGTTTGGACTTATGAACCATTTCATTCCTCAGGACAGACCTGTGCATTCTTCCATACCTATAGGATATTCATAAAAATCGACCACTTCAAGATTATGAGAAAATAACTGACCAGTTAAAACAGGATGAAAACTTCCAGGTGACAGTTGTTGGCAAAGTGTTGTAAAAACGGAAGCCCTGGTAAACGGTGCAGTCACCTAAGGGGTGTTCTTGTTGTTTGGCAGTACTGGGGGCTGAGCCCCTGTGTGTCTTTGGTGAGTGCCCTGTCACTGAGCTACATCCCCTGCTGACACTAAAGATTATTTTAAATACAAAGCAAACAAAGATCCCCCTTTCATCTTTTGTTAAATAGAATATTAAACTGTGATTAGTGTTATTTTCAGGAATCTAATCCCAGTGGCAAATTAAACAGTCCCGTTCCTTTCTACTAATTTCCAAATTCCTTAAACTTGGCAGGAAAAATTTTTGAGGAAAGAAGGGGAAGGAAAAGGAGGTGAGGAAGAGGAGGAAGAGGAAGAAGAGGAAGAGGAGGAAGGAGGAGGAGAGGAGGAGGAGGAGGAGGAGGAGGAGGAGGAGGAAGAAGAAGAAGAAGAAGAAGAAGAAGAAGAAGAAGAAGAAGAAGAAGAAGAAGAAGAAGAAGAAGAAGAAGAGCAGAATGAAGTGCCACCCGCAGCCTTCAGTCCTGAGGAAGTCCTGCAGTTGAGGACAGGTGGTAAGGAAAGTTGTTGACTAAACTCATGGTGGGGAGGGAGGGGGAGGCCAGAACAGACACATACGCTGTGCTCTGTTTAGGATGACTTACTATATAGCAGCATTCAGACTAAGACAGTTGCAGCATTCTCCTTCATCATCTGCCAGTTTCCAGAGGATGAAAACCAGGCCCCAGAGGGGTTAAGTAACCAAGCCCAAGGAAGCCAATGGCACAGTAGAGCCTGTCTGACCCTAATATTTCATTCCTTACTGTACAAGATACTATATCTCAAGCCTGACAAAATGGTTCATAACCTCTGTGAGTTTGAGGCCAGCCTGGTCTACATAGTAAATTTCAGGCCAACCAGAGCTACACAGTGAAACTGTCTTGAAATAAAAACAGGGAGAAAAAAAAAAGATACTCTATCTCACAGATACCTGCATTTGGGTTTTTATTATGTTAAGGGGTCTTACAAATAAGTTAGGAAAAGGGAAACACCTAGTAGGAAAGACAAAGCTCAAACATGAGCAATCAATAAAATAAGCCACATGTACAATAAGTGCATTAAAATGTGTTAAGTGGGAGTAGCCAGAAAAGTGGGAACAACTTGACATATCAAAGTGACCTAGAGAGAAAACAGTAGCCACAATCCCTAATAATGGTAGAAATGTAAACCAGCTCAAGTGTTCCATGCCTCACTTGGAAATCAGTGTCATGAGCTCTAAAATATTAATTCCTTTGAATTTTCATGCACAGGAATGTATTTCAAGGAAATGACCATGAATTTACAAAGAAAAGAAAGAAAGGAAGGAAGGAAGGAAGAAAAGAAAAGAAGAGAAAAGAAAAGAAGAGAAAAGAAAAGAAAAGAAGAGAAGAGAAAAGAAAAGAAAAGAAAAGAAAAGGAAAGGAAAGAAAAGAAAAGAAAAGAAAAGAAAAGAAAAGAAAAGAAAAGAAAAAGTTAATGACATGCTACAGAGAAGTAAGGAGGCTGGCTCCTTACTTTTTCTTTCCCATTAGCTTCAAAATTAGGCAAATGCCTGGTAGATTCTGAAGGCACTGCCCACCCTGGGCACATGCAGGGCCCAACCTCTGGCGCAAGCACAGGACAAGATTCCCAACAGCCTTTAACTTTCAGAAAAGGAACCCTGTTTTAGCTTCTCCCGCATGTCCTCCCTCCCCTTCTTATCCACCTCCTAGTGGGTCCTAGGCACCCTCTCCGAGTCTCTGGAAAACAATACTTTGCAAAGAGAGAGCCCGGGGACCCTAAGGTCCAGCAGAGAAAAGCTGATCCCCAAGAATAAAGAGTCTAGCGCTGCCCCGACCAAGAGCAGACCGCACCTGGATGCCAGGCTGTCACTCGTCTCCCAGGTTCCCTAACGCGGCCAGGGATCACTGAAGGAGATCCTGGACCCTGCCGGAAGACGCCTTCGGGTCCAGTCGGGAAGTCCTGCTGCCCTGGCCGCGCTGCGTCAGGTTTCCAGAAAACAAAAACCGAAAGTGATCTCAGCACACAGAGCAGGAAGCCCGGCAGCGCCACTTCTTACCCCACCCTCCCCACCTACCACAGGAGCCTATCAGGCTCTCCAGCACCGATAGTAGTTTGGGTTGCAGGGGCGCTGCTCGGGAATCCAGATCCTCCTGGAGTGGAGTGACAGGCGGGGGAGGCACTGGAGAACAAGAGAAGGGGGTTTCCACCGTCTCTTCAACCCGTCTCTATCTCCCTAGCGGCTTCGCTTTAATCTTTTTGGAGGACTGAAATGTTCGCAAACTGGATTCTGGTGAAGGTTATGCTGAATAAATTTGCCAGAATTCTCAAAATAACACCACCACCACCAACCAGAGCTGACATGCTTGAAATGCCTAGAATTTGTCTGGATAACTATGGGGAAAAACTTGAAATAAAAGGCAAGCAAGTGAACCCACACTCCACCCCCACACCCCACCCCACCCTGCCGCCGCCGCCACCACCAAATCACCTGGGGGTGCAGACTGGGAGACAGGTGCTGCACAGTCCTTTAAAGATCCCTAAGGAGCCTGGGAAGTCTTCAGTTGAGAAGTCTGTGTAACCCTGTCTAATACTTCCCAACTGTATCGACCCACAAAGACCCCCTCCCAGGACACCCATGCAGACTCAGTGGCTTTAGATTTGAACCAAGGCTAGCCCACACAGGAGAGAGCCTCTCTGCACTTCCTATGGAGGACCACCATTCCAGCCAAGCAGTCAGAGCAGCAGGCTCGGCCCAGACTATCCCAGGGATGAGGAGGGGAACTAGGAAAGTCCAAGTTAATACAGGGTGTACGCTGGAGCATGCTCATGTGTCAGAAAAATACTCCACCTCAAGAACCCTTAAAGCAGGAGAAATGATTACATCAGACAGATGTGAATAAGGACAAAAGAGCTCATTCTACACCAAACATACTCAAGAATACAGTAAAAATGGTAAAACCTCACCTGGTAATTCACACCAAGTGAGAGCCTATAAGATTACATATTTTAGCACAGTTTTATAGATATGTAAAATGCATTCATCTGAAGTGATGATTTTTGGAGAATTTCACCAAATATAATCACGCCACAATGAAGACGCAAGCCATCCCTCCCCACCAAATCTCCCTGTTCTTGACAAAAAAACCTCTCCTGGACTCCCACCCCGGGAACCACAGACTGGCTGCCACACAGCTAAGTCTCACCCATGTGAAAACATCCTTTTCGTGTGTGGTTCCATTTGCTCAGCACTTGTCCCCTTGGGACCTGGTACTCTTTAGCAGAGGTCTGAGCCTGGGACTGCACAGGCCCTCGGCCCTGGCCACCTTGGCTTTGATGCCATGCTTCGCTTGCATTTCCAGTCTTATGTCTGTTGTTTGTTTGTTGTTTGTTTGTTTGATTTGCATTTTTACTCCTGTTTCTTTAGCTTTCCACTTCAAACTAGTTTTCTAATTTACAGAGTGAGGGTTAGGTGTAAGTGAAAAGGATGTGCAGAGTAAATGTAATGCACCCACCCTCCAGAACCGTACTGTCCTTGGTGGGCTATGAACCCCTTCCTCATCCTACAAGAAATCTCTTGTTCTCAAGACCTCTGTGAAAGTGCTGAAGCCCTGTGCTGCCTAGCTGTCAAGGGCACACTTGTTCAACCTGTTCTGCCTGGATCCTTGTTGGAGCAGGCAGAGGAGAGTTTTTTTCTTGCTTCTGGCTACATTCAGAAGCTCCAAACACTTTAGGAGGCCACCACACCTTCTGACTTTTCCTAGTCTGGGGCTCAGATATCAGGTCCAGCTCCCCTAGTTCTGGCTCACTAGGGTGCCAGGACAGCCACAGGTCTGACAGACTGCAGACAACCCCCTCTCCCTTTCCTTCCAGGCACCCCAGGAAGGGCAAAGGAGCCACTTCCTCCCCATCCTCTGCAACCACCTAGCCTCAGACAGCTCTGAGCCCTTAGCTGAAACAGGCTCTTCCACCTTTCCCTGGAGTGAACCAGGGGTCCCAGGTTTCTGGGGACTTGGGCTGTCTTTGCTCCTCCCCTCTGGGGCAGTGACTGGGTAGGAGGACAGTGTGGGTGGGGGATTGAATGACAGGGAACCAAACAGTGTGTGAGTGCAGCCACGTCACAGCTGAGCAATTTCACTTTCTTTTTCCTCCTCTTTGGAGGGCCCTGAAAGAGTTCTCTCTGAACTTTCCAGAGGTTCAAAGGCGGTACACTCCTCCCTGAGCCAAGTTCAGGGCACCCTCAGGGCTGTGTAGGGGATGGCAGGAGAGGACAATGGATCCAGCGGCAGGTAAGTCCTTTCCCCTCTCCTTGTCCTGTGTCTCTGCTGAGATCAATGTTTATATGTGCTGCTAGGACCGCCCGGGCCGGGCGCACAGTCCACAGACATGCGAGACAAGGAGATCACAGGAAATTAAGAACTGGGACAGCAGTTTTTACTGCAGTAGGGTAGCTGTTGGAATCCTATGGTCACCCCAGCTCATCATTTCCTTGCTCCTGTCCCATAGCTGGGCTGACACTGTGGACTTCCTGGGAGCTCTTGCTGGAGTGGCTGGCTCATTGGGACTCTCACCTCTCATCTCTTCCTAATTATCATTCTAAAAGACAACTCTGAGCCTGGTGATGGTCCTGCACCTTTAATCTCAGCACTCAGAGGCAGGGGAAGGCGGATCTCTGTGAGTTCCAGGACAGCCAAGACTGTTTCACAGAGAAATGCTGTCTCGAAAAACAAACAAACGAGAGACAAGTCTATCTAAAAATGACCATTTATAAAAAGTTCAAACGTGATTGTGACTGTTGCCAAGCTTTTCTCAGACTGCAGTTGAGGACAGTTGAGCTCTGAGCCCACCTGTGTGGCTTAGTCAGTTCAGGAGTTAGAGCACTCAAATGGAGGAAGTGAAAGGTGATGGAGACCAATGACTAACAGAAGCAGGTGGGGAGCGGGTGTTGTTTTTAACCTTTTTTTTTTTTTTTTTAAATGTGTGCTGGTAACATAGTTGATTAGAAATGGATTGAAATTATATTACACACACACACACACACACACACACACACACACACACTGCAGGAGGACTGGAGAGATGGCCCAGTGGTTAAGAATTCATACTGCTTTAATAGTGAGCATGGGTTGGGTGCCCAGCACCCACCCTGGGGCTTCCAACTGCCTCTGGCTTCAACTCCAGGAGATCAGACATCCCCTTATCCCCTTATGTCTTCCTTAGGCACTGCACTTACGTGCAGGAAACACACCCCAAGACAGACACATATGTACATAATTAAAAAGGAAAATAGAACAAATAAGACAAAGGTGTATGGAGCTAATCATCCTCTAACAGAGACTTAGTCAATGCTACTTCTGGTCCTGCAGAAGTCCTGAGAGAGCATCGTTTCTCCAGTGAAATTTGGTCAAATCCACTACTGATACCAACAGCTTGCTGTCTTTTTTTGGGAGTGGGGTGGTATTAATTACTGGCTCCGTTTCTCTAATGCAAGCCTGTCAGGCGATCCGTCTCTCAGAGCATGAGTTTTGGTAGTTTCTGTTTTTTAAGACATTTGGTCATTTTTGTTGATATTGCCGCTGTTGTCAACTCTGCAGATAAAGGGATGGCTGCTTTATTAGTCTTTGCTGTCCTTTCATGTCCGAGGAATTTACAGCTTGTGTCTTTTTGTTTGTCTTTTCCTTGTTAGACTGACTGGAGATATAGTTAAAAAAAAGATAAAGATAATAACTTTATTGATCAAAGGAGTGGTTTTTGGTGTGGTATATAATCATACTGTTTTGGTGTAAGTATAATGCTACCTTATTTTAATTTTATGGATTTCTACTTGAATTTTTATTGTATCTTTTGTTTTCATTGGGATGAAGTTGCTCTCCTTATTTTTCCTAGTTCTTCAGAAGATTTTCACATGGACCCCGCTTAGCTTCTGATATGCACATTTAGTGCTGTACATTTCCCCTGGGCCTTTGTTGTGTCTCAGCTTTAATCATTTTGATTTTAACTTCAGGGCTTTAGATGCAGGAGAAAGGGCCACATTTTTACCCATCTACACCCACAGTTTTTTTTTTTTTTCTTTAATTGCATTCATTTATTGTATGTGTGCAAGTGCCGCAGTGTGTATGTTGAGGTCAGAGGGCAACGTGAGGGAGTTGGTTCTCTCCCTCCACCATGTACATCTTGGGGGGCAAACTCAGGTCCTCCTTTAGACTCCGTGCCCAGCCTTTATCTACTGAGCCATTTCATCAGCTCCAAAGTGGCTCTCTTTTATTTACAGTATTAGTTGCTGTTTTCAAATGTATCCTGTTTTAATTGTCACATGCAGACCGTTCACACTTAGACTGGTTATGAATACAGGGCCACAGCTACCACATTTGCAAACATTTTCATTTCCCTTTTCTTGGCCTTCCTTTCTTTTTATGTCTTTTGGTTTTAGTCAACAAGCATTTTATGATTTTTTTCTTAACTTCCTTCATTACTTTTTTTAAAATCTTGTTTCCTTTTTCTTTCTTTCTTTCTTTGTCTTTTTTCTTTTTTTTCTTTCTTTTTTTTTTTTTTGCAGTACTAGAGATTGATTCTGGGGATCTTCTTGGGAATGATTTTTGAAGAAACTTTTATATCTATGTCTGTTGTTTTCGCTAAACAATGTGGGTTTTCCCCCCGACTGCTCATTATTTTGTGGCATTTGTAGTTAGTTTTGACACCTCGGCACTCTTGGGTTTCTGATGAATTTGCTGCATGTCTCTAGTTGGGTCACAGCATCAAGTGTAAGACTGAACTGTTTAAATTATTTCTGTGAAATAATTCAGCTCTAACTCCAGTTTTCACTCCAGTTCATGTATGAGGAGCTGAGCTCAGCTCTCTAGAACCCACTTAAAAGCTGGATGCCCTGGTGTGTGTGTGTGTTTAACTCCAGAGTTAGCGAATGGACACAGTTGGATCCCTGGAGCTCACTGGCCAGCTAATCTGGCTGAATGAAGGATATTCAGGTCAGTGAGAGACATTGTCTCAAAAAAGAAGGTGAGAGTGACTCGTCCCCTCATACCAGGCACATGCACATGAGCACATCCACACATTCACACACACACACACACACACACACACACACACACACACACACACACACACACACGACCTCCTAAAGTTTAAGATAAAACTTATTGTGTAGTTTTGTTATATTATTACATGTTGAATATAGGTTCTTTTTGAAACAATACTTCTCAAGATGTTTGGTATAAAATAACTTCGATACCTTTGTGTTTGTTTGTTGCGTAGTCCTGACTAGCCTGGAATTCACTATGTAGACCAGGCTGGCCTTGAATTCATGATGATCTTTCTGCCTCTGCCTCCGAAGTGCTGGAATTAAAGGTGTGTGTAATCACATGCCCCACCCCCTTTTTTTTCCTTAAAACTTATGGAGAACCTCCAAAGCTAGCTTTTTGAGTTAAATCTAATGAGATTTACCATTAATTATAAATTAACACTTCAGACATTTAGAATATTTATCCTTAAAAGTAGTAGCAATGGATTTATAATTATCACAAGTAACATATTTTTATGGAAAGTATTTTCTAAAATGAGAATAAGGCGAGGATATAATCTTGCTTTACCTTCTTGCAAATGCCTTTACTCTCCTGCTCAGGGAAAGTCACCAGACTGCCCTGTTTACCTCCGTGTTCAGTCTGTCTGATGGCACAGCCCAGGGAGCCTCGGAGAATTCCACTGAACACTTTTAGGAGGAGGAGAGAGATAAGGGGCACACGGTATCTCAGTATTAGTCTGAGAATAGTTTATCCTCAGAGACATCTGAAAAAGCCCTGAGCAATGTCAGGGTTCCTCAGACTGTACCTTGAGAGTCTCCTTTCTCAATTATTTAGCATTTAGGTGGCATTTTAAATGCAAAAACAAACAAACAAACAAACAAAAAAAAAGAAGCTGTACCTCAGTGACAGCACCAGCTGACGTGCCGGTGTGGATGCAGCATGTCTCACAAGACCCCACCTCCAGATGAAGAACCATAGGCAATTAATGGCTGCTGAGAAACGGAGAATCAGTCAGTATTCTCCAGGGATAACTGGATAACAGAGTTAGGTTACCCAGTCCCTAATGCTCAGCCCTAAACACATATGCATAGGAGCAACACTAAATGAACTCAGCAGATTCTATCTGTCTGTCTATCTATTTATCTGTCATAATTTATCTGTCTGTCTATCATATCTATCTGTCATATCTATCTATCTGTCTGTCTGTCTATCTGTCATATCTATCTATCTATCTATCTATCTATCTATCTATCTATCTATCTATCTATCTATCTATCTGTCATCTATCTCTGTATATGTATTTGTATAAATATACATGTAATAATTAAAGAAGGTATTTGAGGGGGCATGGGGAAGGAAAGCATGGGGGGTCTTGAGAGGAAAAGAGAAGAGTAGAAATGAGGTAAATACAGTATTCATGTATGAAATTTTCAAAAAAATTATAAAATTTTAAAGTAAGCAAAAGGCAAAAAGAAAGATGTACCCTATTTTAATTTTTCAGTTTTATTTTTAATTAATTATTTAGGTTAGCATACAAAATGACGGTCTCATCGTGGCATCTTCACACACGTGTCCCACTTTTACTCGCCCCTCCCCCCCTAGCAGGAGCCGTCTCTCTCCTTCTTCCCCGTGGGTTTCTGAACTCAGGTCGTCATACTCGAGGGCAAGCACCGTTACCTCTGACCCTTCTCACCAGCCATCCTGCCATTTGCTTTGTGGTAGAAATTTGCTGGTATTGATCTTTATTTTTTTCCCCCATTATTTGAGACAGGGTCTTTTTATGTAGGCCAGGCCAGCCTTGAAATAACTAGGTAAGTGCTTCCCAGGCAACCTGAGTTTGATGCCCAGAACTCATGAAAGTGAAAAGAGAGAACCAACTTCCACAAAGTTGTCCTCTGACCGCTACATGTGCTAGTACTATAACAGTACTAATACTAAGTAAAATTAAAGAGACAGTAAATCACTATGTAGGCCGTGATGGTCCTCCTGCTTCAGCTTCCAGGATGCCATGACTAGAGGCACTTGGACTCTGTCCAGCTCTCTTGCTTCTGTCATTGTACTGTGCATCATAATTTGTTCCCATCTGCCCACCAGAATGGAGTCGACAACATGAACAAACAGCTCCCATGTCTCACCGGGCTTCTGGGCCTTCCTTCCCTAGAGGATCCTCTCCCTGGACTCTGTCTCTGGGCAGGGAGCAGCTGCCACCTGAGATGTCAGGCACGGTAGCAGAGGGCAGCATGGTTAATTAGTGCTGGTTCTGAGCTGCTAGAGAGCCCCCCATCACTGCAAGGAGGTGGGGAACACAGAGGAGAGAAGAAAGCATGTGGAGCAATGGAGGAAAAGCCACAGAGCGTGTGTGCAGGCAGAACGTTTTCTCAGTCCTGGATCAACTACTTATCAGTTTTTTTCACACATGAACTGGAAGAAGAGGGTGCGCTATTGGTGAAATTATTAAGGCCACTCCGCGTAGTTAAAAGGAAGATTTATTTAGTGGGTAACTTACAAATGAAGGGATAGGTAGGTCGCGGGGTCTGGGGAAGGTGTATTGCAGTCCAGCGCTGTTCTCTGGAGCTCTGCTCGGTCAACCTCCACCGTCTAGGGTCCAGGAACAGAGAGCGCGCTGGCCCATCCAGGTCTCGGGTCTCCAGATGCCTCCCTTGGCCCCACCTTGTAGGCGTGACAGTTGCCGAAGCCTCAATGGGGGTTGGAACTTCCAGATCAGAGCTGGAATGGCTACCCACTACATCATGCAGTTGTTTTTGTTTACTATTGTTTTGACATTTTTTTTGACCCAGCAGTCCAGAGGTTGTCTTCCAGTTTTATTTCTGTTGCTGTGATAACATACCCTGACATAAAGCAGCTTGGGGGAGAAGAACTTGTTAGCTCCCGGGTCTGGGTGACAGTCCATCATTGCAGGGAAGTCTAGGCAGGAACTTGAAGCAGCTGGTCATATCCACAGTCAAGAGCAGAGGGACATGAATGCGAGTATGCCTGTCAACTTGTTCCCTACACTTAATGCTTCCCAGGATCCCCTACCTAGGAATTGTTGCTGCCCACAGTGAGCTGGATCTCCCCTTATCAATTAGCATAATGAAGACAACCCTGGATAGACATACCCACAGACCACCTTAATCTAGACAATCCTTTATTAAGGCTCATACAATCCTAGATGATTTTAGAATGTGTCAGGTTAACAATCAAAACCATCATGTTGGGCCTGGTGGAGCATGATTTGAATCTCAGCACTCAGGAGTCAGAGGCAGATGAATCTCTAAGGCTAGCTAGCCTGGTCTACATAGCAAGTTCTAGGCAAGTCAGATAGAGGTGATACCCTATCTCAAACAAACAAAACCTAAAGTGTCACAAATTGCATCACTGTTTTAGATGTTTAAAGTTTCAATTTTTACTTCAAATTTTTTCTTTTAGTGGGCCATCCTTCATGCCAGAAATTACCCAGCCATTGGTAACCTTTTGTAAACCAGTTTTTGCTTCTCCCTGGAATCTATCCCTTAGGGCAATCACAGAAGACCAGAGCAAAGAGGAGTCGGCCAAGTATGAGCACATGTTCAAGCACTTCCATGAAAATAAGGTAGAAATTGCCAGCGCCATCACAAAGCCGTTTCCTTTCCTTATGAGCCTCCGAGACCGCGGCTTCATCTCTGAGCAGAAGTTTCAGGTAAGTGAGGAGAATGAACTCAGCCCTGACAGTAAGCCTGCCCCGGCTGTGTTATGCTGAACCTCTGGGTGCAGCCAACAGGCTGAAGGGCCTCCAGGGAGGAGGGACCTTCTCTTCTTGGAAGTCAAAAGTGAGAGGAGAAGCGGGCATCACAGGAAACATTCACATCCATCGCTGCTGTAACCGGGGCTGAGGTACATGGTGACAGCGGATGGTATAGGAAGTGGGAATGCACTAAAGGGCGAAGCACCTCAGGTTTCCTTGTGCAATGTAACAAAAGAAACTAGAACGCGAGCGGACACGTCCAAGCAGTGCTTCCTTACAAAGCCTACTTATTCCAAATCCCGGAGCCTGAGAGTTGTGAAAGTCACAGGCAATTAGGTCGCATGAGAATAGAACTAGAAATCATGCTCACTTCTGTCTGTCCAAATTGTTCCTGTTCTTCAGGCACCACTGAGGCCCTAGAACGTAGTAAAGGATGGTGATGGGGTCCCCTGGGGATAAAGAAGTCAAGTCCTGTCTCCTTTGTGCGTTGTCTTTGCCCTGTGGCCAGGATGCTCACTTTGTTGCCTTGAGCCCTGCAGACCAGGTCAGTCTCCAGGGAGTTACTGTCTGGTCCCCAGACAGCCTCTCATGGCCTGTTAGGGCAACAGTGGAGCATCTTGGCAGGGCTCTTACAGACACACCATTTGATTATTCTTCAGAACTACTCTTTCCTGTCAACTGTGTGTCAATGTCAGAGATGCTCTCAGATAAGCAAGGGTCCATTATTACAGGGAGGATATGTAAGATGTCACCTGATGTATGTAAAACTCAGATACTTTACAGGAAATCAAATGGTGTTTGAACCAGTCTAAGCCTCTAAATCCATTGTGACATAATTCTTCATTCGATATTTTTTAAGGATTCTCAAGAAAGGTGTCAAAACCTGGTTCCAGTGAGCAGAGTGGTGTATGACATTCTTAGTGACCTACAGAACAAGTTTAGCCTGCTGCTTCTGGAAGTGATATTCAGCAAAACGCATCTGAAGGCCTATCCAGACTTAAAGGAGACTCTGAGAAGCTTCCTAGATGGTAACTATAGCTCTCACCTGCTTCATGGAATTCAAGACAATTTCATTCACTCATTCAATCATTCATTCATTTTTTTTTTCATTGACAGTTGACATATAGTTTACTGAGGGACTATGGCATGCCAAGCACAGGGGGAATATAGGAAACACACGTGGCCCATGTAGTCAGGAGCTTACGCATAGGACAAGTAACAGAGTTTCTTGCTGTAAAACACACTATGAATGGTGAGTTTCCTTAGAAAGGAGTGGTTTCTCTGATACTTGCAGACATATCCAACAATAAAAATATGTTCCTTGTATCAGAAAATGTATCATTCAGTAAAGTCCTACATCAACTTCCTTCTTTGAAGAATAGAGAAATCACAAGGGAAGCCCAGCTTGGGCCCAGGCATCAGAGAGGGCAGCACGTGTCAACTTAGAATGTGAAAAGAGGGTGGACTTTTAGAACCCAGGGTCTGGCGTGTTGCATGAATGTGAAGTCATCAGGTGGGCAGAGAGCAGCCTCTGTAGCTCCCGCTGGTCCCTTGTGGCCTCATTTTTCCAGCTCCCCTTCCTCTAAAGGTCTTTCCTTTCCAGAAGGTACATCCTCATCAGACTTAGTGTGCAGGATGTGTCTATGTTTCTTGGGTTTCTTTTCCTTTTCCCCTCATGATCCCTGGGTCAGGTCTCTCCATTTGTATCACTTGGTCACCTTGAAATGCAGCTCTGAAGGTTCGGAGTTGTCACCTGGGGGTCACTGGCAGCCACTTCCCATGTTAGATTTTAAAAAGCAGGTTTTTATTTCACGCACCCATCCTGCCTAGGGGAGCGCTGCTTCTTCTTCAGGACTGTCCTTCTCTGTAACCAGAATATCTTCCCTGACTCAGTTCAAGCAAGTCTTTCTGTTTCTCTATTTCTCTCTCCCTACATTCCTCCCTTTTTCTTCTTTCCTGCATCCTTGAAAGATGCTGCCATTTCCCTTCCTCCTTCTCTCCATCCCTCCTTCCTTCCCTCCCTCCAGTCTGTCTCTCTAAAACTGTCCTTCTCCTCCAGAACCCTGCCCTTCTGTCTTAGCTGTGCACATGTAAAGTGTTTTCTGCCTGTGTTCTCATCTGAAATTGGTTTTCGCTGTCCTCTGACAATTTTGAAGAGGTACAAACCATGATTGCTACCTCCGGACTGCCTGTCTGTCTCTAACTTTTCGGGATACCGGAAGGGCTAGCAGGTTGCACAGAAACCGGAGTCCAGTGTGCAGTTGGATGTGGAACTGTGAGATGTAGCTCGGCTCACAATTGAGATTCCCAATTGCTTTTTCCCCTTCTCACTGGTTCATGTCTACTTCTATTACCTAATTTGCAAGGAATCAGCAACCCAGCCGAGGTTCAGCCCCGACTCAAGCGTTGAGCAGGCTGGTCATAGCTTGCCAAAATCTTGTTTCTACATTGAAGGTGTTTCTGCAGATCAATTTATTTATTTCCACAAGCTTACAAATTAAGAGGGACAAATTCTGCTTCATTCCATTTTATATGTAAAGTAGATGTATAGATGTATGTAACTTTGTCAGGCCAAAGTCAAGCAGGAGCAAAAAGCTAGCATCCCTCAGGACACACTGTGGTGATGTTGTGTGAGACTGGCAGAAGTTCTGGGTGGCCAGGATCACTGAACAGAGTTCTCATGGGAGACCTCGGGGACCTGAGGAGTGTACCAAACCTGATACAAAGGAAAAACACACAGAGAATTGGAGCCTGTCACATGGAGATAAGCACTCTAGAGCCAAAGGAAGTTCAGAGATGCAGTAGGATGTGCTAAAGAGCATCTTTTGAGTCAACAAGGAAGAAAAGGACTGAGGCATGTGCGATGCTTTGTACTGTAGAGGAACAGCATCGGGGACCAAAAGAAGTAATAGGGGTGAGCAGAGAGAAAGGAGACAGAGCAAGGTTGGGGGGGTGGTGGTGGTGAGTGTCTCAGACGAAGTGAAGTAATTTACCTGTGTGCTGAGCGCCAGAGCTCAGAAAGAGTGCTTGGAGGTTTCTGCCTCATCAGGTCTGATTGTCATTGTCTTGTTTCTCTTCAGTTTCTAGCAGTCACAGGACTCCTCAGAGGGTGAATGGAAGAGATGCTGAAGAGAGGCCCGGACTGCCAGGATTTGTTAAGGAAGGTGATTATGGTTTTAGATTACAAATTATCTCTCTGGTACTGTTTTCTTGTCTTTACCCTTCTCTCCTCACCATCCCCAAGAGGTACACACACACACACACACACACACACACACACACACACACACACACACACCTCCACACACACCCCTCTATACACACACACACACACCTCTCCACACACACACACAC